ATTTAACATAAAATTTGAAGCCATAAGATTCTAAACCTTAGGATAAATTCGAAATAATATGGTACCATCCTTTGAATAGGCATGTGGGGCTGCTATAACTTTCCCCACATGTAACTGAACTCCCGAACCCTGTTCTGGTTCGTAGACCTGAACCTATTCTTTTAGGGACCTATAGTCAAGTTTAGGAGTTCCTTAAAAGGATAGATTCCCTAGGTGACCAATCACACCTAATAAACGATTGGTGGCGACTCCTTCAAGTCAATGTCTAGCGATAGATCCTCGGATCTAGACGTTATGATAGTAAGGTTGCACTTTGTTTTGGCTTTTCCATTAGTAACAACTACTTATGTATCTTTCTGCATTTATTGAAATTGATAATAATTTTACATGTCATAAAATCAATTATAAATCATATCATTGTTATAATTTAAAAAATTCTAACCAATATTATTATAAAATTATGTCATACAATTCATACTATATATTTTTTATCTAGTTGCTATTGTTGTTTTTATTGATACCACATACTATAATAAATTATTTTATTATAAAAAAACTCTTTATTTAAGGTAAATTATTTTTAAAATGGATGCCTTACAAAAATTTCTTTATTTTATGCCTTTACACTTTTATTTTAGATGCTTAATTTAAATTATGTAACATGATTTTTTTAATTCATCAATTTAAATTTTTAATATAAATTTTTATTTAATATTTTTAATAAAAAAATCACAAATTTGACTTACAAAAGTTCATCTAAAACCTCATTCAAAATGAATTGGTGTCATTATTTAATGTCTTTAAGCACTTTTTGATACAATTGCACTGTGCTTAACCGTTTGGATCACGAAGGCACGATCTGATTACATTTACGTGGCTTCAATGGAATACTTAAACTCAATTGATGGAAAAAAGGTGTGGTGGCGATTGATATTTTTGCTTTTTTTTTTTAATTTTTAATTAATAAATTATGAAATAATTTTTTAATTTAATAAAATGCAAAATTTTATTATATAATGAGCTTATAAATAAATAAAATTATTATTATATTATGAATTAAAAATGATTATTTTATAAATTTTATTATTATATAAAAAATTAATAACTAAATATAATATTATAAACTAAAAATAAAATTTAGTATTATATTATATTATATTATTATTTTAACTAAAAATAGATAACTAAATCATTAATAAAAAATTAAGGAAAAAAATCATTTGGTATATTATTATTTTTATTAGTTTTTAACTATTTATCAATAAAATTATTATTTGATATAAAAATAATTTAATGAATTTTCAATTATTTATTAATTTTATAAATATTAAATATTTTAAAATTTTTATTGCATACAAATTTTAATTTAATATCCTTAATAATTATTTCTTTTCTAATTATAATTCAACTTTTACCATTTATTTGCATCGAACTAAATGTATTCACAATTGATTTTAATCTAGCAGATATAGTATGCAATCTCATTACTATTTTTAATCTCACCTAAATCAATCTTATTATCCATTTAAATTGATGCTAAATCATTCTCATTGCACTAAAGATGTCAATTTTATTCCAATTTGATAAAAAAATCTAATTTTTTATTTGAATAAAAATAAAATAGATATTAAAATTTTAAAAATTGAGACTGAAACGTGTATAATTTTAAAACTTCACTTATAAAATTTCATTTATTTCATTTAATTCATTTAAGTCTTTTCAATTGCACCACAATGTTGACAATTCTTGCGTATCTTTCTACTTATAATTTAATTGGTACCATGAACATATAAGAAATGGATGACGAAAAGATTTCGATAAGAGTCCATATTTGATAAAAGATTTGCTTGAGCCAAATTAAATGAATAAAAATTTACACGTATTTTAGAATTATTATTTTATAAATTGACTTCACTGTTGATTTATGAACGTTTATAGCATTGGTATCTTCATTTAATAATTCAATTATTATTTTATATAGATATATGTAGAGACCATAGACTTTTAAAATTTTATTAATTTTAAAAAATATATTATTATAAAATACATGTTAATTTTTTAATTTTTTATAAAATTAAAAAAATTTACATTAGATAATTTTTTAATTTGTTAATTTCTCTATATATATACTTATTTTTTTAATTATGACCTAATGATATGTAGTAATCTTATAAATTCATTTATCAAGTTTACAATTGGATTGATGTATCAAATAATTTTCATTTAAATTAATTATCATGAGATTTTTTTTAACCTCTACTTTTGATTAAAATAAGTGCTAGTTAACTAAACTAAAATCATCTTTTATTTACTTTATAAAATAAAAATAAAAATATCAATAAACCAATATCTACGAAAAAATTTAAAATTTGATTCAATTAATTTATTCTATCACAATAAATTAGATATGTATTTATAATTTTTTTCATTAGACGTGGATGTTTCATAGTGACTAATGTAGCACCAAATTTGGTTTAGGCCAAGATCAATCGGGCCTGGTCCAAATGGGTAAGTTCATTTATTTATTTTTATTTTTATTTTTTATTTTTATCTATTTATAAATATATATTTATTATTATTTATCTATTAATCTTTTTTATTTATCTATTAATATATATATGTTTTTATTATTTATTAATATATATTTTTTATTATCAATGTATATTTATCTTCTTTTTTTTTTTTTTTGAGTTTATCTGTTCTGAATTTTGTTTGAATTACTATTTGATAGATATAATTTTTGGTTCCAGAAGGAAGTTCTGCCATGAATTAGGGGATTGAAAGAGTTTGGATTGGATTCAAAGAATGAATCCTAATCCTAGAAGGAATTGAGATTGATCAGAAACTCTTCTGATCAATTCCTGTAAATGGGTGTTGAAACATACAGGAAAGAATAGACATAGATAGGGAGAAAAACACAATAGAGAGGAAACAGAAACAAAAGGTGTTTAGAGGCAGTTTAGGATTTTTAGAAGATTTTTTTGATTTTTTTTGAAGGTTTTTTTTGGAAAATTTCCAGAAAATTTCTAGAATCCGGTGAAATTTTCAACGAACCTTGAATTTTCTAATGAGTTTTTCGGCCAACTTTGAAGTTTCCGGCATTATTTTCCATAATCCAGTGGAAATTCAACCAGATTCTAGGTTGGTTCTTCGGGTAGAGAGAAGGAGGAGAAAGTTGAGGGGAAGAGAAAGAAAGGGAAGGCACATCTAAAGAAAAAAAACCCATTTTTTGCCTTTTATACCTGCGTAAAACGACGTTGATTTAGTGTTAATACATTACCAAGATCTGCGTGTTTTTGTTTGGGCTGACCTGACCCAATCGCGACCCGATTCATTAACCTGCATGCTAGCCAATCCTTGAAGCCGAGCCGAGCCGTCTTTTTTGTCTTGGGCCGAGCCGTTCCAAAGGTTATTTATTTATTATTATTATTATTATTATTATTTATTGATTAGATTAGAATTATTTAGTATTCATTATTTTATTTTATTTTTTTAAATGATTTTCTTTAAATAAAATTCCAAAAAAATATTTTTGAGGAAAAGTTGAAAGTATCAATTTTCTTTGAAAATAATTTTCTAAAAAAGTGTTTTTTTTAGGAAAAGTTGAAAGTATAAATTTTCCTTCTACAAAAGCAATGAGTTTTTGAAGAGAAAATGATTTATGTCTAAAGCTGAATCATTATTCCTTTTTTTTCATTTTATTTTTTTCCCTTTTGAATTTTCTTTAATGTTAAATAATCCGATGATAGAGCCTCTGCAAGTGAAATAGTAGTTTCCTTGCATACTCTTGAGGTGACGGAATTTTCTCAATTTTCTGCTAAAAGTATTAGAGTTAATTGAGAATAATTTCTTATAATTAATTACTTGGTAAATTTTTAAGACTCATTGGATAACAAAAAATTAAGCTGGTACCATCTTTTGATAGGCGTTATGAGGGTGCTACAACCTTCCTCACACGTAACTGTACTCTCGAACCCTGTTCTGGTTAGTAGACTTGAACCTATTCTTTTAGGGACCCTTAAGCTTGGGTGTTCCTTAAAAGGATAGACTCCTTAGGTGACCAATCGCACTTAGATAAAAAAGATTGGTAGTGACTTCTTTCAGTCAATGTCTAGCGATAGATCCCCAAATCTAAATGCTATGACAACTGAAACACTCTAGTATTTTGCATAAATACCTGGCCATGCCAGGTTAGCCAATGTAATTTACAACAATTGACAAACAATACTAATGATTAGGACTTAACCTGAGAATGTATGCCGCGGTGGACTACTCGCTTACCTTTTGATTATCAACAACAATTTAACGGGTCAAATTCCTCCAAGTTTGAAAAACTGCAAAAGTTTATACAGAGTTAGGCTTGAAGGAAACCACTTCACAGGAAATATATCAGAAGCTTTTGGTGTGTATCCGAATTTGTATTATATTGCAGTCTAACGACGAGATATATATGTATTGAGAGGGATTCTCCGCAAGAGGGGCAGAATGCAATAATCTAAGCATGGCCACAAATCTCCATAACAACATTTTGGAAAGACACCACCAAGTTGAAAAATGTACAACTCAGTTTAGAGAACTCGATCTCTCTTCAAATCATCTTGTAGGTGAGATTCCCAAGGAATTGGTGCATTGACATTGATGTTCCGTCGTTTGCTAAGTGGTAACCAGCTTTCAAGCAAAATTCCACCCGAGATTGGAGTTCTTTCAAATCTACGGCATCTTAACTTGGCATCAAACAATTTAAGTGGGACGATTCCTTATCAACTTGGAGAGTGCTCAAAGTTATTGAATTTGAATTTGAGCAAAAACAAACTTGGAGAAAGCATTCCATTTTCAATAGCTTCATATATGGTTTTCAAATTCTAGATTTGAGTCATAATTTAATTATTGGAGCGATACCACAACAGCTTCGAAAATTACAATTCTTAGAAATATGGGATCTTTCTCACAATATGCTTAACGGTTCTATCCCAATTTCTTTCAATGATTTGTAAAGCTTGATGGCTGTAAATATCTTTTACAATCAATTGGAAGGCCCGATTCTTAACATTAAGGCATTTCACGAGGCTTCAGTTGATGCCTTAAGAAACAATAAGGGCTTATGTGGTAATGCCATAGGATTAGTGCCTTGTGTTCCTATCCTAGCAACAAAAAGGGTTATAGAAAAAGAACCAGGTTCATCATTTTAATTGTGATTCCACTCTTTGGTATTTTGCTTTTGTTATTTATCATGGCTGGAAGTTTCCTTATTCTTTGCCAAAAGAATCGCACCAGAAATCTGAGTCAGGGGAGGCACAACTTTGAGATATTTTCAAAGTATGGGGATATAATGGAAGAATACTCTATGAGAACATTATTGAAGTCACTGAAGATTTCAACTCCAATTATTGTATTGGTTCAGGAGGAGATGGAAATGTTTATAAAGCTGTGCTACCCATTGGTCAGGTGGTTGCTGTGAACAAACTTCACCAATCTGAAGATAGCATGATTTCCAACAATTTGAAAGTCTTTGAAAGCGAGATTCATGCTTTATCAGAAATAAGGCATCGTAACATTGTGAAGTTGTATGGCTTTTGTTCATATCCAAAGAATTCATTTTTGGTTTATGAGTTTGTAGAAAGAGGAAGTTTGAAAATGGTGTTAAGCAACAAGGACGAGGCAATGGAATTGGATTGGAAGAAGAGGCTAAATGTTGTAAAAGGAGTAGCCAATGCCTTATCTTATATGCATCACGAGCATTCACCACCTATAATTCATCGAGACATTTCCAGCAATAATGTTTTCTTGGATTTGGACTATGAGGCTCATGTCTCAGATTTTGGCACAGCTAGGCTTTAAAGCCTGACTCCTCAATTGGATCACATTTGCAGGCTCTTTTAGATACATTGCTCCAGGTATCATTTCTTTACTACTATATGTTAATTTTGAAATATTGACAAGTGGTTAAATTCTTAATTTGAAGTAAGTTTAGATAATATAATATATTTCAACATATAAAAGTCTTAATAATAAAAATTTAATACCCATTTATTTCTAGTAATAATATTTTCGTTTTATCAAATATTAATATTTTTGAATCCGGATAACTTAGTTGATTAATGTAACTATTTTTAAGTGGTGGCAACAGTATCTACTATCCCTTATCTTATCTTTAGGTTGTGGCTTCTTTTTTAAAAATAATAATATTTCTATTCAAAACTCTCTGAGTTTCATGTAAATCGTTAATTTTGGTTGAAATTGAATGCACGCTATGGTTGTTTTTTTTTTTTCTCTCTCTCTCTCTATCTTTTTCTAACCATAAAACTTAGGATATTGGATGCTAACAGTATGTAAATATTATAATATTCTAACCTTTATACTTCTTAATTATTTCTAGCATGTTTTTTGTGCCTAAATAAATTATAATTATTAGATTGAGGTTTTTCACGCAGAGTTAGCTTATACAATGAAAATAGAAGAGAGATGTGATGTTTACAAGTTTAGGGTGCTAAGAATGGAAATACTTATGATGAGCCATCCCGGTGATTTGATTTCGTTTTTGTCATCATCATTGGCATCAACACCAACATCAATGCCAAATGACAACCAACAAATATTACCTAAAGATGTGATAAACCAACATCTCTCACCACCAGTAAAGCAAGTTGCAAAGGATATTGTCTCTACTACAAAGATAACATTTGCATGCTTAAATGGCAATCCTCAACTTCGACCAACTATGCAGTAGGTTGTGCATGCCCTTGGTCGTCAATCGCTTCCATTGATTGGGAGAACTGTGGGATCATGGGTCTGTAGTGGCTAATATTAAGGTGCTAGCAATTTGAAAAATAATTCTAGGCACGAGTATTTGTATTTGCTTTCAATCTATTTCTTTTTCTCTACTTTGTATTGAACATGTTCAAGTACTCTAATAATAAAGCTTTTGTAGTGAATTAGCTATGATATAGAACAGTTGTGCTAAGCACTCAATTTGTATTTCAAGATTTCTTATTTCTAAAATATAACTAATGACTATATGTAAAATTTTAACTTTCGAAAGTGAATGCTAAAGCAATTCTAATATCACTTTTTTATTTATTTGAACAAACAAAAAATACGATTGGTGAGTATACCAAATTACAATAAATACTATTTCACACAATAACCTTTTGATTTTACTATTTACTCATCATTTATTCTTATACACACTCGTACATACTATTTCTCACAATTTCATCTTTCTAACTTTTCGTCATTTCCTGCCTTTTAAATCATTCAAAATTTAATTGTAATCATATTAAGTACTTCATACCAAAAAATAAATTGTATTAAGTACACTTGAAATGGATTTGAGTGATGATTTAAGCATATACCTTTAACTTGCCCATTTTTTTTTTACTAATATGCTAAAAAAATGTTGTACTTTTCTCAAATTTGAAATAAACTTTTATCTTTATTTTTTTTAATCCAATTGAAAGCATAAATCATTATTCTTATTTAATTAGATCTTATTTTGCATAAAAATCACTAAAATTGTTATTTTTACCACATCAATAGTAATAATTATCTTTATTAAATTAATGTCCACATTGCAAAATATAAAAATTTAAGGTAAAAATTATTTTTGTTAAATCAATATCCAATTACAAAATATAAAAATTTAAGTTGAGTTGTTGTTTTTGTGGTATATATATGTAACAAATGGCTAATATAGTAGGCCTCATTAGCATTTAGAGAGCTTTTTTATTTTCAAATATTTATGCTATGTAGATGTTGGCTTCATAGAAAGAACTATGACATATTTGTTGATTTGGCAAGAAACATTTTTTTTTGTTTTTTGCAATTTTCATCTAAAAAAAGAGCTTCATGGAACAAAACTATACTTTAAAGATTTAATTAGACAAAATAATTTTTTAAGGACTTAATTGGATATAATAGAAGGATGGAAGCTTACATGAAAAATTCAAGACTTATCATCACAAAATATTTTTCATTTTTAATATTTAATTATAGCCGTGGTTTATATGTAATTAAATTTAACCCAAAACTTTCAATAATAATATATAGCCAATAAAATACAAAATATTTTTTCCCAACTAAAATTTTGAGTTGAATTTAGTCGAACATGTTTTCAAATTTATCCTAGTCACATTTTGACAATCATTCTGTGAGACTCAACCATTAAATCTCAATAAATATCTATAATTATTTTATTTCTTTTTCTCTGTTTTTCCTTTTTTTTAATAATATGGTAAAGAGAATTCCTGTTTTGTTTATTTGGAGAAACAATCGCCTTTGAACAAAATTAATTATAAAAAATGGCTAATTTCACCTATAATTTTTAATGCAATTTTGTAATTAGCCACTTAAAACAAATAACTATGTGAGAGTTCATTACTCAAAAGTGTGGGCTCTACATAATTTTTTTATGAACTTTATACAATGCTGAATTATAATTAATTATTATACTACAGTAATTGCAGACTATATGCTGTCACAAAAACTATACATATTTTAGGATTACTATGGTAATTTTTAATTTTATAAATTATTTTAAAGTTGTTTTATATCCATTTAATATTTGGATTATTATTTTATACAAAAACACAAGTAGTGGGTTTATTAAAGCTCATTATGTCTATTTACATAATTAATCAATTTGTTAATTTTTTTATCCATTAGCTAGGAGATTGGAGATGGGGATGGTGGGGTTCAACTCCACCTTACATGTCTTTCTAAACCTTTTCAATCACTAGACCAATAAAAATAATCTTTCTCTAATAATTATATAAGTTAATTCATTAAGTTCATTTATCACTTAATTATGAATATGTGATAAACTGAAAATCTTGTAAACCTATTTGGGGAGTTTATAGCTTTCACTTATATATTGGATATTATTTATTTTAATAATAATTTCCATGAATTTTTTTTCCACAAAAGAACCTAATTTGCACCCAAAATTTTGTTTAACCATAAATAAATATACCTCACTAAAAATGAAACTCATATCACCATTTTCTATATTAAAAAATCCAAAAAGAAAAAAAAACACAATTCGCTCAAAAACATTGAAATCATCATCCAACCAATACAATTAATTTCATCATTAACAAGAATAGAAAAAAATAAAGTATTGCTTCGTGGCCACAGGTGAAGCCAGAATTTATTTCTTTTCAGCATGTATTTAATAATCTTCTCAATATTCTTACATAATAGTGTATTGATTAGATATATTTCTTGCTAACTAGAGCACATTGATTAGATATAAATGTTTTTTTAAACATAATTGACTTATATAATGAAGGTAAATGAGAATTGTGATGTCTATAGTTTCTGGGGTTCTAACAATTGCAATGAATGTTCTTATGGGGAGAAATCCTAGTGATCTTCTTTCATGTTTGTCATCATCTATGCCGGCATTGGCATCGACATGGGAATTGTTGGTCATGGAGTTTGTGGCTAATTAGTTGCTAACAATTTGGATTATAATTCTAGGTACATGTATAATTTGCTTTTCGCATCTCCTTTCTTGTTTTTGTATTCAAATGTTTAAGCATTCTAATATATATATATATATATATATATATATAGACACATACACATAAATATATTTTTTAATTTATTGACACTTTATTAATAAATAAAATTAAAATTAGTTAAATCCTTAAAAATAAATTACTTCTTTTATATATAAAATCGATGGGTTAAAGAAAAGAAAATCACTTAAATATAATACATGGAGAGAATTTAATCAGAAATTAACATAAAAAAAAGAGATATTAGGGAATTTTTTTTTGAGTTTTAGTTTCACAGTATTGCTGGATAGTAATATTGTGGTTTGGAAACTTTTGGTTAAAAGCTTCTATTCCATTTGTATCAATTATTTTCTATTTTTTTATTTTTTTGACAGATATATAAATGTACTTATTATTAGTTAAATGTTCATGTTCAAAAGTTTTGTTTTCTTGTAATTATATATTAAAATTGTGTAATAATCCTAAATAAAGGAATTGTGTAAATTAACATCAACAATAAACCTATTGTATTAAAATAATGAAATTTTAGTTTTAGCGAGTGAAATGTTGAAATTTTCTTAAGTTTTCAAGTAAAATAAGGTTTAATTAAATAAAAAATAATATTTATGATTTCATAAAAATAATATTTTATAATTTCATTTGGGTAAATATAAGATGACTGAACCGACACAAGTATGAGAAACAACAGGGCTTGGAATGATATTAAGAAAAAAGACATCATTTGAATAGTTCAAAGGAATATTTTGTTAATTATTATGTATAAATTACATTAGCTAGCATGAATGGTCAAGTATTTATTCGCTCCTTTCCAGTTAATTTCCACGAAGACTAATAAATAGGTAATTGTGGTACACGCACGAGTCAACTCATGACCGCAAGTTAGAAAGGTGGTGAAACATGTCGGCATTGATTAAGTACGGATTAGGGTGTGATCAAATCGTTGCAAAACCACGTAAATCATGAATGACGTGAAACACTCCTTGAAAAACTTCTCAAGTCTTCCTCCAATTAACATTGGCATTAATTTCAGATGTTTCTACTTTTTCTTCTCTTTTCTTTTCTTACGTTATTTTTTTCTTTACTACGATGGGAAATTGATGAAAATTTTAGAGAAAGAAGGTTTGGAGAAGAGAGAGAAGAAAGAAAAATAAAATAAAAAACAAATTTGGTTATTTTATAGGTCGTTCAAACAATGCCATTTAGACGTCTGTGACCTATTCCAAACCTATGCGTCGACCTGGGTACAACCCAACCTGTATTTAAGTTTTTTTCTCTTTTCTTTTTTGATTTTGATTTTTTTGATTTATCTATTCTTTATTT